TCCACGGGCCTGGAAGATCGATGCTGTTATGGTTAACCGTCTTAGCCTTAACCCCTATAAATACCCCTTTTTCGAGTCCTAAGCGATCACTGACTTGCTTTCAGTTGATCATCCTTTGGCATAACAATATTAAGCACGTCCTCAAAAAATTTCAGGCCTAGTTGAAGCAGGCGGTATTAAAAGAACGTTTAAGTGTCCACGTGAACCGAATTCCGTTTTATAGAAATAATGCAAAAAAGGACCTTTCCATGAAGGTTTTTTATAGTAATTACACTTTCTTCAAGGAAAATATAAAAAGAAGTAAAATATTCTTTCTTTAATCACCGCATACTTTTCAACCAAAGTTACATTTTAGATTAAATTTAGGATGCTCTTTATCCATACTGGGTGGTACTCCTGATGTAAATTAAATTAATCTGTTGTCCTCCATTCAAGGAACTTTTAACAACCGCAGAATGCTAAAATGTATGTTGGACAAAGTAACAAAAATCTCGTCTGTGTATTTGACGGCAATCATAAAAATAAGCAGCTCTAAGGCGCATGCTGAATAAGTCCTTACAATTAAACAACATTGGGACTCTGAATCTTAAATGTAGATTCTTTTTGGATGTCGCGAGTAAAATTTGTGAACTTAAGGAGAGCTGACTATGGAGATAACCATTTGGATGCCCCCAGCACGTTTCGAATTGCAGAGTTATTTCAACAGCCAAAATTGTATTCGCTTTAGGTTAGTATCCACCTCTATGCTTAGCGTTTCCTCATATTCGATGCTCGGAAACTACAACTTAAGTTAGTGTGCTTAAGGATGGCCTCTTTTTTCCAAATCTATCCTGCAACTTCCATTTTTTCCGTGTGAATTTCAAAACGCAGGCAGGTTGCCTGCGAACTAGGAAAATGCCGCCTGCTTTCAGCCAATGCTGCGCCTTCCCTTACGCAGCGTAAACAATTTAGGCCAACAAAGTATGACCTGCTGGGGTTATTCCTATCTGGAAACTATGCCACTTTGTGTAGCAAATGAAGTGTGCGTTGTTATATGCACCAGGGAACATTATGCGAACGTGTGTGCATTTGGTCTTCTTTATGGCCCCCATAATGCTTGGTTTTATTAATCCGCCTACGTTTTGTTTGAGTGGTTTTGGTTAAGATAAACTGCATCGATAAAAAAAGAAGGCGTCGGACACGGAACTATGGACCCCTCTTACCCCACATGGTCTTACGCTAGAGGGTATCAGTTCTCATCTCCTAACTGTAAACGTAGCCTCCCTGGAAGAATGTGTCTGAGCGGTATTTAGCAAGTAAGTGACTAATAGTTTCAAAGAGTACCTGGGCATATGGCAAAAAATGAAGGAGAAAGGTTACATAAGGTGCCAAAGAAGATGAAAAGGTCACCCCTTTTAAATCGCGGTCTACCTGATAGTTCGATCGATCTCGGCCCAACCGACCGACACACACATACTTAAGAGGGAAAATTAACGGTTGTACTGCCGTACGGCATTTTAATTTAGCCCTTTTCGTCTGCCACTTCCACACAAACTTTCCAGCCGTAATTGGTTAAATGCGCGAAAAGACGGGCTTAAAACGCTGGAACCCAAACTGTGCCCTCATATTTCGCCCAGCAGGAAGGTCAGTCTTTGTGCTAGGAATGTACAAAACACAAATGATGCCCAGGTAGCAGAATTGACATGATGCACAGAGGACGCAAGGGGGGAAGTAAAGCCAAAACAAAACAAACCGTCTACGTATCTGACCTTTGCAGGTGTAGACCGGATAGCCATGCCATACAAACCCTTTCGGACAAATGCATTTGTAACTTCCGGCGGTATTCACGCATCTGGCGCGTGGGTCCGCACAGGACTCGATGGAGCTGAAGACCTTGCATTCGTCAATATCTACAATACACAAGAGACACTCCGCGTCAAACAGGGGTGCACTTAATTAACTTGCAATATAAGCTGTGTGCTGATGTTTAGACTAACGATAACATTAAGTGGTCAACTATAAACAATATTTTAAATATGACTAGAGTGATTCTAGAAACGGTGTTAAGTGTCGGAAATAGGCGAATTCCCGCTTTGCGAAAAAGAGCTTCTGACGGTTAGATAGCCACCAGATATAGTTAATGTCAAAACGCCCCTAATTAGTGTAGGCTAACATCTACGCGTGCATATGGGTTTTTTAAAGACATGGAAGGGCGCCTCAGTTGCATAAGGAATACAGGGGTGTGCATTACTATCTGAATCAATTTTAAATTAGGTGGCTTTATATGGTTATACATGAGCCCTTTTAAAAGAACCATCTGTCAGCCAAGAAAAGAATTAGCACCATTGTCCAGTAATAGTCAACCGCACATGTCTAATTATTTCCAAGTATACGTGATTATGAAGAAAACGACTCGATCGCCGGGGCAACACTTTTTTTCGCCTGACGTTTCGAAATTCGTCGTGGATTCATCATCAGAGGTATTAGAAGAAAACAGTAGCAGAAACGGGTCACACGTGATTGTCTTGCTTAACAACATATGGAAATGTCAGAATTCAGATCACAGGACTTATTTCCCGCCAACATTCCTGATTGGATAGGTTTGTTATCTTGTAAAATGACAACCGAAATTCTGAAATGCGATTTCGTTAGAAGAGTGTCGCTTAAGTAGGGTTGTAATAGTATGCAAAATGCAGCATAATCCCTAGAAAGTTTAATCGCGTCTAGAGACCCGCCTTCAAACAAGCTTCTGTTCGACTGCCTACAAAAACCAAACTCTCTAAGAAAGGACTTATTATATAGCATGCATTTTCCTCACCGATTTTAAAAGCACTTAAACATCCAAATATATTTATAGAACACATGTATAAACCCCTTCTTCACGTACACATTTCATAGAAAATTGCGTGTTTTTCAAATTTCTTTTTAAAGAAGTGGTTTCTTCCAGTTAAAAAGAAACAATTGCACTTGCTTGATAATTTTGAATCCGACCTCCCGCTACAATTGCATTTTGAGAGTTTCCAACCAACATAATGTTTACATTCCACCTATGAAACGTCACATATTTCTCTGCGCTACGGGAAAGAGATAACATGGTACTCATAAATTTTCCAGTGTACGTAGAGCCTGGTTTATATTGTAAAATCAGATACCATGCTTTATTAGTTGACAATTCAAGGTCCTAAAATTTCATAATTAGAAGCATTAAGAATGGAAGATAGTTATTCTTAAAGTATAAAATCTGAGGAAGACCTAAATTGCTACTGACAGAGGGCTGGACTAACTTGCAGCAAGCCTTTGAAGAACATACGTTTCAGGTGCCATTCAGTGCCATATTGTGGCCTTATGAACAGTGTGGGAACCTCCAAGCAGAATAAATACTACTTAAAAGCCACCGAGCCTGCCAGATGGCCAGATGGAAACAGTACACAGTATTGACGTCCTTCCCTGTCCTCCAAGAACGAGGGGGAGCGCAGTCAACTAATTCGAATGCGGACCCTGGGGCCTTGGTTTCGATTGTTTGTTGGCTTTTATAATACCCTTGTCCTTCTGCTTATATTTGAACCTTTGGCAAGAATGATTATAAAGGCCGCAAAAAGCCCGTCGATGTATAATAAAAAAACTACTTTCAAATGTTCGGTAGCCTGACTTTAAATTTTTTCGTTAAATTCCACTAATAGGAGGATGAATTTCAATTTCCGTTAAATTCCGCCTACATAAGGTGAAATGTCCCTCGATTAGCATTCATATTCTACACAATAAAGTCTATGTTGATTGGACTTAATTGGAATTAGTATATTAAAACAAGCACAATCTTATTTAATTGAATATTTTTTGATCTATTCCATCACAATTATATATTGGCTTACGTTCACTAGCCAAGAATTAAATGTTTGACCACAAAACACTTAAAGCAGTTGGGCGGGGGGAATAGATCTCTAGAGGGGCCCTACAAATAATTTTTGTCGAACTTTTTAATATGGCTAATCACAACGCAGAGTTCATCCTGTGGGTCAATGTTGCGCAAGCCTTACGGCCAGTCACGGGAAACTGATGAGTAGATCCAGTTGGCTAGTCACGGTATAATTTTCCACTGAGGTCGGTGCTGAGACACTCGCGCTGCAAAGGCTGGCAAACAGAGGCAAATCAAAAGTACGACAAAAGGAAATACCGACACACGCGGTGTCATTGACATTCTTGTAGCCTCGCTGGCAGAGACACCGGTAGGAGCCAATCGTATTCTCGCAGTGCATGTTCGGGCCACACTTTGCAATGCCCGTAGCACATTCATCGATGTCTAAAAGGGTAATACAACGTAATTAGCTATGAACGAGAGGCAAAACTTAAAAATAAACAAATAATTATTTTTAAAAGCATCTCCTTGGTTGGGGATTTAACCGACGGAATTGTAAGTGAGCAAAGATCGGTAAACACAATTGTTAGAATTCTACGCGATTCCAACAGAAGGGGAAAAATTGTAAATGCTAAAGCAACCCAAGGGCCAAAAATGTCAACTACCAGTGCATGGTTCTCGTATGGAGTCTCGTTTGAAGCCTGCGGGACAGTCAGTTACTGCGATGCAGCGATATCCCCCGGGGATGTTTACGCATGTTTTGCCATCTTTGCAGAATGGATTCAACTTAGCGTCTCCACCCACCGCTTCGGCACATTCGTCGATGTCTAAATGTAAAGGGGAGATTAAGTTGGCAAAAATATCAACAAGCGTTAAGATGCGTACTTTGATAATGAACTTATTTAACATCAAATACGCGCACCTCAAGCTACCGCCTAGAATTCTGTAGGAGTAGTCGAGGTTTTCCGGGTGAAAACTATATTCATGCTTTACACTCTCCAAGAAGAAGTGTTCAGTAAAATGAGCAACACTTTTGAATACTGATAAACAGTAGTTCTTGTAAGACTCGTTCGATTAACAACGGAACGGCCTACAGCGTGACAACCTGCACTACCATGTACGCCCAAACAGAAGTAACGATGTCCGAAATCCTTAAATGTTTTTTTCTAAACTGTAAATGACTTTTTCAGTGGATGGCAACGCCAAGGCAGCGCCCGAATTATGACACCCTGAAGTTCTCCCGAAAATATCTTAGGCGAAGCGTATGGATAGAGACGAAGACTGCTTACTCAAGGTCATATTCACGCCTTAGCATTTTGCCTCCACCCTACAACTGTCGTATGACTTCGTGGAGAAATTATCAGACTGAAATGTCGGCCGGCAAAGTCGATGCGTGTGGGGATTTGGCGAATTTAACGAAAGCAATGTAATTGACGCACGCTAATTAAGTGTCTTCCCGAAGCATACTGTATCAAGCTACTCGCGTATTTTGTAGTCCCTACCCTCTACAACTGCAATTCGGTCGACTTCGGCCGGTATGGGATTAGCTGTTCGTGACCTCTGCCACTAATATAGAATATGTTTACTTCGGGAAGCCAACAGATCAGTGTGCGCCCCTTCCTAGTTGAATAAATACCCGACCTGTGTGTTCGACCATCGATTTCGATGAAGTCCACCAACTGAACCAACAGGTTGGTACAAGATGTGACGGTCTCAGGGGTTAGTTCTAAGTAATAGAGGACGTATTTAGCGGCTCCGCACTCCTCACCTTCTCCCGGAGTCCTGAAGACGCTGGACGGGTCAGGCGTGGGCTGCTGTATCAAATGCAAGCGAATACACCGCCTAA